AGTGAGGGATCAGCTTGACCCCTGTCGTAACAAAATCGTTGGCGTCTTTTGTGCTCGTGAGATACTGACTCGAGAGCAGCTAGGGGGATCCCGGCCTGGTGAGGGTTGCGTCGACCAAATCTTCACACTGCGTCAGGTGCTAGAACAACGCCATACGTATAGGCGACCCACAATTCTAGTATTCCTGGATTTCCGAGGCGCATTCGACTCGGTTGACCGGTGTCTTCTTCTTGAGACGCTTGCTCACCAAGGAATGCCCTGGAAGTTTGTAAACATCATAAGTTCTTTGTATTCTCAGACTTCCGGACGTGTGAGAGTGTACGGAGAGCTCTCCAAAGCTTCCGCACACAAAGCGGTGTCCGTCAGGGATGCCCACTCTCTCCATTCCTTTTTAACTTCGTGATCGATGAAATAATGAGACGAACGCTGGAGGGTCTCCAAAACCCTGGTGTTCAAATAGCCAGTGAAGAAAACCTTGTCGATCTGGAATATGCAGACGACATCGTTCTCATGTTCGAAGAGGAGGAGAAGGCGCAAGTATTCTTGGATGAACTGACCAAAGTCATCCCGTCCTTTGGTATGCATTTTGCACCCACAAAGTGTAAGGTCATGCTTGTGGACGTGCAGTCACTGAACACGCCCCTTACAATCCAGGGAGAGGTACTGGAAGTTGTGGAGCGTTTTACGTACCTTGGAAGTTGTATTAGTTCTGATTGCAGTGTGACAGATGAGGTGAATGCACGAATCTGCAAGGCTCGGGCCGCGTTTGCTAACTTGAGACACCTATGGCGTCAGAATGGTTTATCCCTGAATCTGAAGGGACGTGTGTATCAAGCTACAGTACGGGCTGTTTTGTTGTATGGCTGTGAGACTTGGCCTATTCGAGCAGCGGACCTGAGACGTCTTCAGGTGTTCGACAATCGTTGTCTCAGAACCATAGCTCGTGTGGGTTGGTGTCAGCGAATCCGTAACGAGGCAGTTAGAAAGCGTGTTTTCGGTTGTGTAACGGGTACTTCCATTGAAGAATGTGTCCAGCACCAGAAGCTGCGTTGGTTGGGACATGTGTTACGCATGCCGAACCACCGTTTGCCGAAGAGAGTACTGTTTTCCACGCCCAACTTAGAGTGGCGTAAACAGAGAGGTGGCCAACCCTTGACTTGGCAGAGAGGTATGAAGGAAATCACGAAACGCTTGGGTGCTGTCGGTGCTACTCGTCTTTCAGGATGGGGACCGCGTGATCCTCACTGTGCCTGGTTGGAGACAGTACAGGATATGGCTGCCAACCGATGTCAGTGGCGTTCTTGTTGTCAGTTTCTATCCAGATTGCCGGAGTGAATGTCTGAAGGTATAGGCATCTGGGAATGATTGTGCTAAGCTAGCACTAATTAACTTCTCCGTCCACCTTTACTCTATTCTTTACAATAAGGCTTTCAAATAAACCATGGTTGTACGGCAGTGAAGCATCGGTGTTGAACACTGATGTCATGCTGAGGATGATGATGGTAAATAGCAATCAGAGGCTTTCGTGCTTGTCGTTGGGGTTGAAAAGTACAAGTTATTTAGATCACGGTTAAATTAGACTTGGCTTGATCCGATTGGCAAAGGTCATCACGTGCTTGTTCATCTTTGTGACACATCAGGCCTTGGTTAGTTGCGTCGTCCGGGTGCCGAATAAAGACTGCTGGTTAGCCACTTGATCACAGTGCCAATATGAAAGTTAAGAAAACTTCAGAAACGGAAACCGCTGAGTGTGTGATTTTCACAAGGCCCAAGATAGAACCAGATACAAACTTGCTACCTGCCTACAACCAAGTGCGTATTGTCAGTCCACACGCGAGTTTATTCATTTCATATTAGAAGACCATGGGATTTAGACCTTTAGGCAGGCTGTACAGGTTGCTACAGGAGAAAGAGTGCCAAATGCTGTCTTGTCGGATGAGCTTCCCGACTATCTGCCTCTAGGTCAAAGGCGAGAGTGCATAACGTCTGGTTACGTAAGTCTGTACATCGTTGAACCGGCCGGAATGAACTAAATCAGGAGAAGGCGGAATGATTGCTCAAACGTGAGTGTCTGCGTTGTGGACCGGTTTCAAATCAAATGTAAATACGAGTAGAATACTTTGAATCTAATTTTCGAGTTTTTGAACCGCACTACAATCAACTGTCAGCTAATTCAGAGTTTCCAGGGCACAACGGCTGGTCTTCAGGATTCTGAGATAGGTAGGATCCTGAGAGCACCTGAATAAACAGTCCTAGTTGTATGTCACAAATACAGATTAGACCGACTGCAACTCAACCATTGGGAAATTCACAAGTGGAACGTTCTATAATCTCGTAGAATTCTCCTGACACATAACCAAGTAGAGTAGGGGAGGCTGTGAGCCCCTTGAATGATCCATCCTCAATAGACACCAAGCACTCCAAAATGGGAAGATTCAGTATTGGTGTATGCGAACATGAGGAGAGTAAAATCAATTCGTATTAGAAAGACCCAGCTTCAATCCAAACAGGACTAAGATTCTTCCGGGTCAACATTTATTGTCCAAACTTTCCACTACTTTACACACAGTGCATCATACGGAAGGCCCCCTACTTCTAGTTGGAGTCAGTGCGCCGTCAACCGCGCACTGACGATGTCTCCTTGACTGGGGACGAAACATTTGTAAACCAACTACTAAGCGCGGCGAACAGATCAACTACCATGTGATCAACCAACACAAAACCGCCATGAAATCATGGAAAGGTGTATTAAGGCCCAACTGCAGTGGACCCCACTCCAAAAAGTGCATTACGAGTAAGGGTCTAGAATGTAAGATGAGTCTTTTATACTGTTCTTTTCGACAAATTTCAGGATCCGAAAAAATCAAAGTAATTCTGTTGGAACTGCCAAAGGTTTACTGAAGAATAAACGAAATTTTGTACGGCATCCCATATCAATGACGGCATAACATCACATTAGCACTGGCAGTTTACTTTCAACTATTTGCATGCTGAAATCAATTATTGATCTGATTTTTACCACCGGTTACCATGTTTTTTTTTGAAGTATGTTACGGCGGTCAACAAGTGGCTGCATTTCAAATTTGACTTGGGTCGGTGCATTATTCCCCAGGTATGGTATTATGTATTACAACCCTTGGAAAAAGTGAACCTGAACAATAAAAATTCAGAGTCCCGTTAAAGGAGTTCTCGGCTAGTTTCATATTTTAAAAGTTTGTAGAGTATTTTATAGTTTGAAGCCATGGCAAAATCGAGTGATTTCCAAGGGGCCTTTGGTTAAGTCATCACAACTGGAAGACCCCTGGTCAGTGGTTTGCTTGTGTTCCAGCACCCAGACTACTATAGTCAATGCAGGAAGTGGCGTGTTTCCTTCAAGGGCTTCAATGAGACCAAAGCCATGGCGCTCCACTTCCCATAGTCTCTGGTACAACACCTGCTTGATCGATAGCTCACTAGATCGCACGCGCCACATAAGGTACTTATAACGGTGTGAGTAGTATGAAACCCAAGTTTTCGCGAGCACGACCTGCCGCCCTCGCCTCCGATTTCCGCGGCAAACCTGATTTTCAAGGATCCATTGACGCGCGAGGTTCGGCTTTTTTGCACATGGCTGACGCGCATCAATACGGATACTTGCGTAGAAACGTATTAGTGATACACTGATGGGAGCTTTATAGATAAGAAAATGGGAAAACCGCATCAGTCAGTGTAATCATGAATGGCCTGATCAAGTTGCACAGCAGGGGATGCTAATGGGTTGGGACCAGTCATTATGGAGTAAATTACAACTAAGAGTAAGCTGCTAGCGTTGAATTTCAGACGTCGTATGTGTATTCCTTCGCTTTGTTTATGTTTCACCGACATTTTATCACCCACCAACAATGTCAACATTTCTGCATCACCTAGGGTAACGGTATCCTATTGGAAAAGGTACAGGATAGGGGCGTCTAAACAGCGGATTTCGCAAAAGGACTGTGATATTCAATCGAAAAGATTTCTCAGAACCCTAATTCAATTTTTTCCAAATTCCCGAAATGAACTGTTGAATATGGTAACTGATCCTCCATCCACAAATAGTGCAGTAGTGTTGAGAGTGATACTTGACGCCAATGCTTGTCGAATTCATACCTAGGTCAGCTCTGTAGGCACCGCGTCTCAACGCATTACAATACAGGAGCTGTGATGGTCAGCAGTGCATAGACCTTTAATAAAGTACACTTGTGAGTACTGTTGACTTTCGTTAATTCATTGGTCGATGCACTCTATCAATTGAGTTGCAGGCTGTTGCGGAATGTGTGGAATTCGCGTTCCGCTTTGGTTGGTTTATATTAATTTACTGCGCAAAGCTGGCCGCTCGTGCATGAATGGTTAGGCGTTCAACCATTTGGCCGGGAAATCGTGGGTTCTAACCTCCCGACTGGATTTTTGTGAGGTGCGCACCGCTGACAATTCCCAATATGAATGAAAATTTGTGCAATGCTTCTCGGCGCTTCAACGTAAATTAACTTCACAGACAAGATGAAATTTCAACTAAAACAACATCCTCACACTACCAGTGAGTTGGATCTGTTGCTATTCAGGCGTCAACTTAGTGCATCTATCTCACTCCTGACCGGTTTCTTTCTTCATTTAGAGTTTGTTTGCAGTTGATGTCGGTCAGACAAACCGAGCAGATCTGTCCATTCCTGTTCATTGAAGATGGGTTTCGCGGGTGAGAATATACTGCCAGTGACTAGACTGTTTAATACGGTCGTCAGCTATTTGAGGGTTGCCATGTATATTACCAGACATGTCTTTACATACATTTAGTCTGTAAATGGTAATGTGTTAGAATATTGGTAGCTCGGGTGCATTAGTTGGTAATTGATAAGGTGACTGCTGACCTGTTCACCGAGCTTGTCAATTGATTTGCGAACGTTTCGTCACCAACCAATCAGACAACAGGGAAGCCGACCACGACGCAATACAGATCACGAACAGGCCAACCGGAAGAGACAACAATGGACGGCAATTCCAACAGTAGCCTGGCCGTAGGAAGCAAAAAACACAAACCACAACGCAATATGGACTAGGATCGGACCAACCGGAATCCAGGTAGGTTGAGAGTCAATGGCCAATCAGGTTACAGCGCAAAGACTGCTCTTTGTAAACTACACAAACGCAGACACAAAGAGAGGGACTACCCAACCAACAGCGCACTGAAGATGTCTCCTCGAGTGGTGACGAAACATTTGCAAATCAATTGTCAAGCTCGGAGAACAGAGCAACAACCTTCTATCAGTTACCAATCAGTCTGTAAATCTTTGGCGAGTGTGCTTGAATTTCCAGGAGTGCTTGTTAAGACAGGCTGTGTCGCTGATGGCTGATCAGGCGACACTGCTCTGTTAGCCGAGCTCAGCTATTCGCTGACAACAGATTGCGTCACCAGTAAGCCTGGATGATTACCAAGGCTCTGCCTTGCGCATTCTAAGGTTTCCACAACGTTGGCTGCCAACAACGTTTTACATAATCTTCGAAAGGTAGTACTTCACTAAATACTAGCTGGAACAGAGTTCCTACAGAAGGGAGCTACTGCTCCGTTCAGAGGCAGTGAGGGACTGTGGTGAAGAACGAAACAGAGGTGACAGGGATACGTCAGGTTTTTGTTGATTCAAACTGTAATCGGCCCACAGTGAAGATACTGGTTATCACATCACGCACAAAGCAGCCAACGTACATCACTTGCAGCATTGGATCAGTAGATTGCAACTTTTAATTGTGTATATTTATAGGTGTGTGTGTGTTCCAGCCAGGGTAATCTGTACCCACCTGGCAATGAGTGTCCTATCCAAGGAGCCATATTTAGTTTGCTGTGTGGACTTGATAAAGAAAACTGCGTAACCAAATGGGCATCAACAAAATTCTGATTTATGACCGTATCTCAGAAGAATGAAAAGTAGTCTATGGTATGGTCAGAACATGTTACCATTCGAAAGCCATTGGTCATAGTTTCGATTGTCCAAAAGGTTCGCGAATACTTTCCGGAATTTCAAAGAAACTAAACTCTCGTGTATTGCGTTGGTAATGTCACGGTCAGCGGCGAACATGTACACCGAAGTCAGCATGGTTCTTTTCACGGAACAAACTTCACATTTCAGAAGTCGAAAGTCCCAATGTTGTAGACTGATCATCAGTCCGTTATCGACGTGCGCGGGTAGTGGCTCATCTTTGGATGGGTTTCTTTCTTTCTTGCAGCCAAATACTCTAATTTGCACAAGGAGGGATGCTTGACTAAATCCAGCTTAATGTTTTATTTACGACTGCCTTTTCTGGCTGAATATGCTGCACAAGACCACGTTATCGTTCAGCTTGGAGATTTCGGAATACATTTTCATGATGTAACATACTACTCATAATCGGAAATTATTTCACAACCCACCACCGGTTTCGCCCCTCTTGAGGCTCATTAGTCAGGCGCAACTTCATGTTGTACGTGGACCTAAGGTGGATAGAATTCATCAAATAGTTTCATTTGCACACCAAATTCAGGTGAAACTCTCGTTTACGATAGCGGTAGTCTGTTTTCAGCGACATCATGAGTAGTATTTTACGTCCAGATGAATTTTCTTCTATCTGTTTTAGTCTTGCAGTTCAGTTAACCGATGGTACTTGAATGAAGAAACTATCAGGACACAGAGGTAAACTGTTCCAGAACCACTGAGTTGGAGAAGCAAAAAGGTTTCTGTTGGATACTGTCTTGCTTTTTATTACTGGTTCAAATCGAGCAAAAACGGGGATTACGGATTCAAGCACTGGGTGAAAGGAAGCAGAAATCAGCAGTACCAACTTGGTATGCAAATGAGTGAATTTATGGACTGTTTTCTATTTTTATTTAAGGTGTGGTCTCCTAGTAGTATGTCATCAGTGACGTCATCACTGTGAATTAGATGAAATATTTCGTTGCACACTGTGCTGTTGTAAGCGTGGAACCCAGCTGAGCCCTACGTGGAGTTTGTTTGGGAAGATCCGTGAGGCAGCCTCGTCTTTATCTCACTTGTCGTTTATCTCTACTTTCATGAACTTTTGTTGACTACTGAATTGAACAAGAAACTTTGAGTTCGTTAACGCTCGCTTAGTGAAGAAGTAATTTTACGCTGCACAGAACCTCCCCCATATATACATACAGAATGTCTCATAATAGACGCGAAATTTGATTGGGTTAGTAAACGTAGCCAGTCAAAGAAAAGATAACGAAATTTTTTGTTAGCCACATAAAGGAGGTTGTGCATGCAAGTGTTGACATTCTTTTTTATTTACGATGGGTGTCAGTGCGCGCATTGAAATTGTGAAATTATTATTCCCTTGGTGAAACCGCCACCGCTGCACTTCGTGGTTGCAAAACCAAACATGATCTCATCAAAGATCCTTTCATCGCTACACTCTTGATTGCAAAATTTGAGTCCATTGGATCTGTATTGGATTTTCCTGGCAAAGGGAGACAGTCTCTGAGTGACGAAAGAGCGCCCATTTTACAGAATGCCATCGAGCAACTTCAGTCCTTCAGCACCATGGCATCTTCAAGGCATGATCAAGGCTCGCGTATATAATGAAAATGAACCGAAGGATTTGGTGGAGTTTAGAGCAAGAATTGAAGTAGAGTGTGCACGAATGACGCCTGAAGAAGTTAAACATGCTGTGTCTCACATCTCATGCCGCCTCCAGCATGTTATAGAAGAAACGGGCAAATTTTTTAACAACCTTCATAATGTATGTATGTCTACGTAAAGAATGATAAATGTTTAAACTGGTGTTAACGTTTTAACATGAATAATATTTTTTGCGTCTATTATGGGACACCTATATATACATATATATATATATATATATATATATATATATACGCTAATGAAGCTTTGAGTTCAGCCGCTTCTATAACCCTTTGTTTTTCTGCTCTTACTAAATGTATGAAGGGGAGTTGATGTATGTTAACCTCTTTCAGCGCAGGACAAGGTCCGTATCTATTCGATTGTATGAAGAAAGGGAGCTCCGAATCCGCAACCTCCCTGCTAGTTGTCCGAACACTTAACCTTCCGACCACGAGCGGCTGAGTATCAGTCGCGTACATTTTGGGAAATAGTATGGTGCTTGTTGGTACTCATCGAGCAGGTCTCTTCGCGTACACTCGACTTTGTTTTTTGGTCTAGAAACAAAAGTTTACTGGTTGTCTAAGAACCATTTTTGTTTCCTGACCCTTTCCTCTAGACCATGATGGGGAGCGTAGATCGCGTGTTGTTAGCAGACTGGTACACCCATGCGTTGACTCGCAGCCATGTTTGGAATACACTACATTGGCAGTTATGCGTACAGGAATGGTAAAGCGATACAATCACCTAAAGAGGCACGATCTGTGCACCGTAGACAGATGGATTACTCAACGAGCGCATGCTTAAGTCAAGCAAACAAATGCCAGCTGAGCGGATAACTGCCAGCAAGACATATAAATCATGTCAGTAACTAATCTCAGTTACATCGTGACAATCTGTCAGCCTGCCTAACTTTCGCGTTTTCAAAAAAATCCATATTTTAGCTGTACATCTTCATTTAGCATACGAAAACTTCTCAGAGCTAAACAGTGCAAGTCTTGATTGGGAAAGTTAGTTACACGTAATGAAAACTACGGACAAATGAAAGTCAAGGTCAATGGGCTTACCTGGGCTTCGTGGATGAAGTTCATCCCCCCAAGATACTTAGTTGCCTCCGATATTGCGATATTCATCATCACCATAATCGGTCGACAGCCATATCTTGTAGTGTCTCCAACCAGGCACACTGATGATCACGCAGTCCCCATCCTGAAAGACGAGTAGCACCGACGGCACCCAAGACTTTCGTGGTCTCCTTCTTATTCCTCTGCCAAGTCAAGGGTTGGTCACCTCTCTGTTTACGCCACTCTGAATTGGGCATGGAAAGCAGCGATATCCAACTCATTTGTATTATTCTCCCAGTATTGCATTTTGATCAGGGTTATATATTGCTCACAGTAGAGTCTGCTACTTCGCCCTCCATTGTTACTCACTATGTGTTATGGTGAATAAATTTCATACAATTCTTGACCATTGTTGTGAAACAGTCTAGGATTGAGGTGAGTACATTCTGTGAAGAGAACTCATCTCTAGCTGACGTTCACTTGCATGTGAATTTTTACCAGCTTGCAGTAAATAAGCCCTCGTGGTTCGTTTTGGGTTGTGCGCCTAAAGGATGCAGCAGTTGGTCGGAGGATTACCATGGCGTTTGTCGATTAATGAATAGCACTCAGACACGTTGCAGATTTATTGAATTATTGAAATACTCATGACGCTGACATAGTCACACCAACGAAAACCTAGTTCTCAACGCCTAGAAACAAAAGCATAACTTGTCGCTGTAAGAGGATTTTTGTGTTCCAACTTTGGACTGCCTATGCAGCAACAACAGTGTAGCAACAACAGTGCAGCAACAACAATGTACCAGTGAAGTGTCGTCCTGTAAGTAAGGTCCACCTACGCCGAAAAGCTGACAAGCCTTGTGGGGTTGTCACATCCTGGCGGGAAATTATCAGCAGTGAACAACACATGAATCTGTAGGATCATCATCATCATCATTGTTAGCCGAAATAACCGCGTACTTGTCGTACAGTGGTTGTAACTGCCACAGTTTCGCTCACCGATGATTCGGGGAGGTGGGATAGGTAGCTGCGCATTGGAGGATGATAAATTAGTGCGTAAATGCACTATAGGTGACTGTTAAGTGGGGGGATTGGGAGGGTAGCTATGCATTGAACGCGATTGCTCGGATGCATGAGTGCCATTGAGGGCGCGACTGGGCCATGGTCTGACAATATCTCTAACCCTTGATAGGGCCTGACTCGGGGTTCCCATTCCGGAAAACTGCAATGACCAGCACAGCTGAGTTTGCTGATAATTGCTTTTATATTCGCAACCTCCCGAATAGTAGTTAAAGCCTAAGCCCCTCTGCCGCAAGCGACTAAAAGCGGTGTGAGCAACTGGCTCTTAGAGAGGAGTTCACATCACATGATCACCTGTCGATTGGGAATAAACGTCAGAGCGCATCTGACAAGCATTGTAAAAATTCAGATTCCGCTCAGCAGTAGTCCTCTTAGAGGGGAGTTCACATCACGTGATCACCTGTCGATTGGGAATAAACATCAGAGCGCATCTGACAAGTATCGTAAAAATTCAGATTCCGCTCAGCAGTAGTGTTTGTTTGTGCTTAGATGAGATACTTTGAGCAACTGTTTTGGAAAAAAGCGTCCCGTAAGGCGCATGAATTTTCCAGCTGAAAAGCCACTCACGGGCCCGCTCAACACTAAATCACGTGAAGCAAGCTGAGTACTGGAACCATTGATGCTTTATATCCAGTTGGAGCATGAATTAATCACAGTGCAAGTGTGAAACGTCAGCCGAGGGGTAGAGTGCATTAAAGTCTTTTTTTCGGAATTGCTTCCACGACCCACCGTGGATGAAACAGTTGGGCAAAGCTTATTAGCTCCACAGCAAAGCTTCCGTTTAAAATGGCGGAATATCGATCGAAAATTCAGAATCTCCTCACAACATGTAATGTGTTATTGCGGCTATTAAAGTACTCCTGATGACGGCAGCGTGAATGCTGGAATTGAAAGACTACACCATTAACCCAACGGTTGAAGAACTTGAGACAGTGGAGTATCTGCTATCTGACTAATTTTTCAGGATGATTAGAGCTCACTATAGCGTTGTACTTACTAGAGACATCGTCCAAGAACGAACGCCAAATTCTTCTATGATTTTTGGGCGTTGACTTTTAAGCACAGAGTGTAGATGGCTTGAAAACATATCTGATCCATTACACTTCTATTAATTTTTGGGTGTCACCGAAATTTGGACTAGTTGTGAGGGTTTCAGCTAAATTTGATGGAAGACCAAACATACGGATGTGAAAATATACCGTTTAGTCTGTAATTCTGTAATTACTCAGTTCCCAGTTTGCAGCTCACCCGAGAGACCAGACAGTTCTTCGTAACCGCACAACTCAATCTCGTTTCGGTTGTCAGAGAGATCGTGAGTCAGCTGTTACTGTCAGGTGAAATAGGGTCACCAAACTGGAATTTCACATGTAAGTCTTGTAGAAAAAATGCCACATAGTAGAGAAATGTGATTTTCTACGTTAATGTAAACCACTTTACTTTTCCAGTTATTCCGAATACATTTGAGAAAATTAGCTTGGCACAAACCTAAAATAATCATGTAAGGTTCCAGACATATTTTTGTGTACCAAGTGCAGGCTGAACACTTTTCACTTCCCAGGCACGTAATTGTAACATCTATGACAAAGGATCGATCGATGGCAAATCAATAGCCAATACCTTGAAGCTTGATTCAGATTGGATGACATGGCAATATGCTGAAGGTGTGCGCCGCTATTTCGGAACTTCGAAAGAAATGGAGATACGCATGTGAGGCTCGACCATGCCAGCGCATTATCTGCAATGCATCTTATTCTGTTTCAGTTTGCCATACAGAATTTAATTAGGAATTTTCATGGGTGGTACACAGAGTTCCAAAATGCCCATTTTGAAATTCAAGAACCAATCAACCGAATTCCGAAGGTAGAAGAGACATCAAATGCTGAAAAACTGTTATTTGGGTTGAATCTCGTGGGTACCACGCACTATGGTGATATACCGTCATTGTGGAAAGAGTATTTCCTATGACGGGGTTCACGACATTAAGTAGATTTAACTTCCTCTCTCATCAGTTTCCTGAATATACTGAAATTATTTCGAAGTTTTCAGTGACATACAAGATAAAAATCAATGGCTCTGGAGAACTGGAGGCCCTTACTTTCACAGGAGCACCTTGTAGATGAGAACGTTTTATCACAATGGTATTACGCAAATATTACTGGATGATGTGTGCTCAGAAACATGGCAAACAGTGCCTGAATCAACCGTACTACTTGTATTCAACCTACTAGACAGCCTGGTCAATCACTCACGGATTTGCAATGATTTTTACTTAGGAACGAACAGTGAAATCAGGGGACCTGCCTTTACGTGGGTCATGCAGACTCAATGCAAATCTCAGAAGGTTTTACTTAGAAGTCAGTTGTGCGGTTCTTACAAGAGATCCAACATGTATTAATCAAAAGGAAACTACTCACGAGGTTGCTGAAAACTCTTCGACAGCCCACGACCGGTTTCGCCCCTCTTGGGGCTCCTCAGATAGACGCGGTCCCCGAGTTTCCGTCAACCTTATGTTCTACTTGAACCCAAATCGTACTGTTTCCGAGAAATACATTCATTTGCAAACCAATTTAGTTTTCACGAGGAACTCAACTGTATTAATCAATTATATTATCGACTGTATTAATCTTCCTCGACTGTGACAACAGAAATCAACTGATATTCGTTCACAGTGGCTCTAGATGATTAACTTGTACACCGACAAACGGCCGGATAGTCACGTGATAGCTCAAAGCAGTATTGCGTTAATTCGATGCCAATGGTACAACAGCTCCACTCAAAGGTCCAATCGACAGTTACCCCATCCTCATAGAATGAACACGTTAAGGCAAACAAGCGACAGAATGTCTGACACTGTCGGTGATGGCGTTTAACTGTACCCAACACACAAACCCAACTGCCATGTTTGTGAAATCGACATATGCCCAACGTACGGCCGATCAAATCACAAAAAAGGTCATTCCCAAACACGCTGTTCCGAATTTTCGTGGAGTGACGAGACATGACTGGTTGAAAATATGGGGATGTATAAATGCCTGTTTGAAACAGCAAAGGTTTGGGTAACAGTGTGTTTGTTAAAATCATTAGCAGTAAATTTTACGCCAATACAAAAGACCCCCATCAAAGGAACTTGAGATAGTTCCGTGGCTCGAACTCAATTTCCGCTTCTCCACTGCTCCTGTCTGTGCTTGGGCTACCTGGAAGTAGCTCAGCCCTTGTGCTTTCTTCGCGTAACATGGCAGCTAGGCACCGAAAAGGTGTCACAGCCGAACGATTTTTTATCAGTGCAAACCTTCTGTAAGCAACAGCATATATACTAAAATGACTATTCCGGTAGAAAATGAACTTTATCGAAATGCTGAAAGACAACTTTTGTTCAGTGACCTTAAGTAAAGCTAAACAAATTTCTGGAAGATAAATCTTCGGCGAGTGAAAACCCGGTTCAGTTATGTATGAAAGCAATGACAGAAAGGCCGAAGAACTTCAGAAATGCTGAACAAATGGAGACAATGAGAAATATCTTGATCGACAGGGACGAAGCATTTTTCGAAGAAGTTCTTTTCACGAAAGAATGAGTTGAATCAAACTTGTTGCTACTGTTCCTGAAAAGGAACCGGTGCATGAAAGTTGGGGGTAAACAGTGTAGCTTGTGGCATCGTCATCCTCGTCAGCATGCCATCATTGTTCAACACCGATGCCTCACTGCCTTACAACCGTGATTTATTGAAAGCCTTATTGTAAAGAAAAGAGTAAAGGTGGACGGGGAAGGGACTTGGTGCTAGCTTATCACAATCATTCCGAGGTGCCAATACCTCCAGACATTCACTCAGGCAATCTGGATAGGAACTGACAACAAGAACGCTTGTGGAAAAGAAACACAAATTTCCAATTAGATGTTGTCAGTTAAACGTGAACACATTTCATATGCATCACGTGGTTGGTTGAGGCGAGGAAACGAGGTGCAGCTAAGTTGTACTCTTAAGCGATGCCCACAGTAGACCAATGTCTGATAATGTCCAAAGATTTCGACAAACACAACCAGATGCATATCAGTTTGTTTTTCACAGTAGACTGGACTGAATCTCTCGGTTTGTGATATTCATCATCTGAATGTGCTGCAAAAAGGCCGCCTCACATTTCAGAGGGGTTTGGTGAACAATCGGTGGATTTATTGCTGGGCAACTTCTCGTTTTTGACACAAAAGCTTCGTCAGGCTAAGTGAGTAAGTAAGTAGGTTGACTGGGTTTTAGGTGTCCCTTTAATCTCCTCCGTGATATTCCTTATGACTAGCCGACTTGATCAGTGCTGGGTGTTCAGTTTGATGTCCCTGTTTGTTGATTAGTGGGGATGACTAAGATTTACGATAGTTTAGTTAAGTTAGCATGGAGCTAGGGTCCACATCGGGTACACTAGCTTTCCTTGACTGCATGGGAAATTAAAAACAACTGCATACCGGAAATCAACAGATAGCGGTGCAGTGTTAAACTACTCGTCTGCACACCCAAAAGCAGTATATGCTAGCATAGCTTCAGCGATGTTTAGGAGAGTGAGAGCACTGTGTACAGAGAAGGTCGACCGAAGAGCAGCAGAACTTGAGGTAAAAAAGCGACTTCAAGATAGTGGATACCCAGTGGGTTTAATTAACCGGCAACTAAGACGGGTATTGGTGCCAACACCAAGGCCCAACAAGGAGTGGATCGCAACAGCGGTCATTCCATACAAAACAGTGACATCTGAAGTCATTAGAAGGGTACTGAATACGGCTAACATTAGAGTAGCTTTCCAGAAGGGGAAGACTTTATGCTCTGTGTTGGTGAATTTGAAGGATCGCCTTCCGGTTGATAGGACTAGGAATTGTGTATACAAAATGAAATATAACGACTGTACGAAGGTGTATATGGGTAAGACAGCCAGGGAATTGCACACCAGAATCGGTGAGCATAAGCGTTCCATTAACAGGCCACCGAGAAACGCAGAGGAGTATCAGGCGTTAGTCAAAGATTCAGCAATGGCAGGGCATGCTCTTGACACTGGGCATAGAATAGATTTAGAAAATGTGGACATCCTGAGACGGGGTTTACGATTCACACCACAGCCACTGGTGGCCGAGGCGGTGAAAATCGCCAAGCATCCCATTGTGAATAGAATAGAGGGGGTAGAGTACACTCATTTGCAAATCAATTTGGTTTTCACGGGAGACTTAATGGAATCTCTCGTTTATGATGTCCTCCAGCTGAGTGTGCTGTACACAGGCCGCCTCATGATTCAGTTGGCACGATATTCGAGATATCGCAGTATATTTTCATAAAGGAAACTACTCACAAGGTTGCTGAAAACTCTTCGACAAAATATCCCCGGTCGCAACAATCCGAACCTGGTTCACCAGCAATCGTTTGTGTCCCTTTAATCTCAAGGATCGAGTGCCTGTCCACGCTGATGTGAAGCGGAATACATCGGACTAGGCACGATTAGACAGCTCGGCCAAAGAACGAAGGAAAACAATCCACCTTGGCTAGTTTCTGAAACTAGAAGGACGATAACCAGTTCGGTAGTACAACACTTAGCTGACACCACACACAACGTGATACCCAGCCAAAGTTTCCGCGTTGTTTACAAGGTGCAGGCTAATCAACCCAGATCAGTAGAGCAACGCGCAATAGCAGTGGTCGAAGGTATCACCATAAGACATCGCGACCCGATCTTCCGTCGGCAGAAACGCTTTGTTCGTTTGTTTTACTTACCATGGTCCAACTCACCTTCCATCATACATGCACCCTGTGCTGAACACACAACTACAGCAACACCCGCGCTGACCTGAACTCGTTGTTCTTTGATAGGTAGCCAATGCCTTCTTTCACTCGATTTCCTGTCCATTTACACCATGCTCATTCAAATATGTTAAATACTGTTCTCTTAACCTTTAACATTGTATGACTTGAAAAGTCCGTGCTGAAAACATGTTCGTCAACCCATCTGCGTTCTTAACTGACTGATTCTGTGCTAGACAACAGCTTAAATTACCCGAGCTCTCACTTTGTCCACTTGTGAACTTTTAAAAAAAAAGTTATTATTGAATTATCTCCAAGAAGTTGTAGGAGCAATAGACTAGAGTGAGAATAGTCAGATCGTCAGAAATAGGTGTGAAACACTGACCTGTCGGTTGACAGCTTTTGCGTAAAACTGGCTTATGAAGTCTGTCGATATTCTGTTTACCCGTGAGGATCGAAAGGGCTTCTGGAAGGTGAACCGAATCAGTCGAATCAAATGACAGAGTCGCTGTTAATTTATCTGCTTCAACTGTCATCTTTGGACCTATCTTTTGAAACCTATCGGTCAGTCAGCATAGATTCGAGGTAGAGAGAGGAAGAATGACAAGGAACGCGATCGTCTGAATGTGAAACCCGGGTGAAGAAGTGTAATGCGCTACTCATAAGGTTGCTGAAACTTCGTCAACAGCCAACCACCTGTTTTGCCCTTCTTGGGACTCATCAGGCACCGAGTTTCCGTCAACCTTATGTTCTACTTGAAACCAAATCGCACAAAATTAGCGACGCTATAGTCTCTGTTCATTCAGTCTGATAAGTACTCAGCCGCTTGGCCAAGACCATTGAACCATCAAATCGACCAGAGGCGTGGGGTGATGAGTTCAAACCCAACCCACACACATAATTCAAACCAGCTTTCTGTGATGCTACATGTCAGCGTGACTTCATTTTCCATGCATTTTACAGTTTTTCAGGCCAACGGGTCGAGCAACAAATGTTGAAGTTAGCGAAATACACTCACTCATTTGCAAACTAATTTGGTCTTTCGAGAGACTCATCTGGAACCCAGCTGAATCTCTCGTTTGTGGTGTTCTCAGGCAACTGAATGTGCTGCACCAGGCCGCCTCGTGCTTCAGTCGCTATGATATTCGAGATATCGCGATGGTGCATTACAAGAATATATATGTATCGTGATATCTCGTAGTGACTGAAACATGAGGCGACCTGGTGCAGCACATTCAGTTGCCTGAGAACACCACAAACGAGAGATTCAGCTGGGTTCCAGGTGAGTCTCCAGTCAAAACCAAATTAGTTTGCAAATGAGTGTATTTCGCTAACTTCAACATTTGTTGCTCGACCCGTTGGCCTGAAAAACTGTAAAATGCATGGAAAATGAAGTCACGCTGACATGTAGCATCACAGAAAGCTGGTTTGAATTATGTGTGTGGGTTGGGTTTGAACTCATCACCCCACGCCTCTGGTCGATTTGATGGTTCAATGGTCTTGTTTTTGTTCCAACCCGCCTCAAGGTGTGTGAGTTTGAGATATCAGGTGCTTGGAACACTTGAACGTCATTGAGGTTTTCTGGCCATCTCGCCCACATTACTGTGACTTTCAGATGTGAATCACCCGACTTCAAGTGCATTTGGACAATTGAGAACCGGTCATGTGGCCGCAGATGGATTTGCATATTCAACTAGTTGCAATTTGAAGATGAAGGACCTAACCAGAAATGACCTGATGAGCATGTTGGATACAATTCCGCGTGTTCGNGAGTAGTGCATTACAAAAATGTTGAAGTCATTTTGTTCTAACCAGCCTCAATGTGTGTTAGTTTGAGATACCAGGTGCTTGGAACATTTGAATGTCATTGAGTTTCTCCGGCCATCTGACCCACATTACTGCGACTTTTAGATGTGAATCACCTGACTTCAAGTGCATTTGAACAATTGAGAACCGGTCACGTGGCCGCAGATGGTCACATAGTCAACCAGTTGCCATTTCAAGATGAAGGACCTAACCAGAAATGACCGCGTGTTCGCCAACGAGACTGGGATATGCTGGTCAGGGAACTCCATGTTTAGATTCACACCTTTGAAGTCACCTTTGAAACCATCAAGACTCGGTTGAGGTGGAATGCCTTTCAAAAGCGAAGCAATCCAGTCACTCAGCCTCGTTCAGAATTTGCGGAATGATAACCACGAAATTTCCTCTGAACTCCAAGGTGGCCCGATGCCCTGGGATAAACTGGTCTGGCGAAAGATGATATTTCCATCCGGATTGGGAAGGCCAGAGCAGCTTTTGCGAACCTACGTCACCTGTGGCGTGGGCGTGAAATCAGTTTCTCTGTCAACGGTCGAGTTTACAATGCTGCGGTGCGCTCCATATTACTATATGGAACAGAAACATGGCCGCTGC